TTCTGTGGGACAGAAGCTAATACCCGCATAGAAGGCACACCACCCAGATCAGAACTAGCAAAGCGCCAAGTCTCAGGATTCAGACCTGCCCAATCACGAACCGCATCAAGATTAGTTAGCGTCGCGAGTTCAGCGGTGCCGGGCAAAAGACTCAACGCCATGCATCCGAAGTACAAAAGTCGAAGCCTAACAAACACGCCTGAGGCTTTCGACTTGCGCCAAAATGGCCACAATTCGTAAGCTCATACAACCTCCACCTCCGGACTGCAGGCTTTCCAGACATATTTACTTTGCCAATGCTTGGTGCCACCAAAACCTCAACCCGTAACAGCGGATGCCGGCAAAATCCAAACCGTAAAAGCAAAGGTCGGTACGCAAAACCCAAACTCTGAAACGGACATGCTGGCGAGCAAACCCCCAAACCCTGGAAAAAGATGCGGAATGTTGACAAATTGTTGTTTATTGGAAAAGCTTGGGCGGAACACGGGGTCCGAGCGTCGTACCAGCAGTAGAAGTTTTTGCCTCCTGCATGGCTGGATAACGAAGCAGGCAATAGCTGTCAAGCAGTAGAAGTAATAGTAATAGTAGTTGTTTTTGTCACCCACAGTAGTACACAGTAGTAGTTGTAGTAGTTGTTTTGTCACCCACATGGCACGCCAATGACAGCGGAGTAGTAGTAGTAGTTTTTTTTGCCTTGGTACAGTAGTAGTTTTTTGCCTCCTGCATGGCTACAGTAGTAGTAGTAGTAGTAGTAGTAGTAGTAATAGCAGCAGCTGCAGCAGAAGCAGTAGTGGCAGCAGCAGCAGCAGGAGTAGTGGTAGTAGTGGTAGTAGTAGTCGTCCTCGTAGTAGTAGTTGTGGTTGTTGTAGTTGTACTGTAGTAGTTGCAGTAGTTGTAGGTTGCTGTAGTAGTAGTAGTAGTAGTAGCAGCAGCAGCAGTAGAAGTAGTAGTAGTACTACTACTACTACTACTACTACTACTACTACTACTACTACTACTACTGCTTGTAGTGGTTGTTGTTGCAGAAGAGGCAAGGCTCGTCTTGTCTTGCTCCTTGCTTTGCTGCAAAGATGTAAGCCGTTTAGGCGAGCAGCGGCGCCACTCTCTTCTTGCAGCTTCTTGATCGCATCACCTCTGGATCCCACAAGTCTGGCGATGATGCTGTCGGGGTAGGTTGCGACGGTTCCGTCGTTCTTCCTGAGTAACCAGCTGAACAACTACGCCATGCCCAAAGGCCACGGCCTGCAAAATCGCTGGCATGGCGAGAGTACATGGAAAGGCTTGCAACATGGGAGTAGCTGAAAACGAGCGGCTTTGAACGCTGCGACGACAATACCCTCTCCGACTCTGACCAAGTACCAAAGGCGGCCTCCACAGCACAAACAGCATCGCCATGCTCCCTAAACTTCACGTAACCTTTGCGTGGTCCGGGGATCGGCAGCACATAGATGTCCTCAGTCGGACCGAAGGCATTCAGGCATGTGTCCATCAGGTCCTCGTCCGGCAGAGGGTCAACAAAGAGCTCGACATCCGTTGGAGCAGGCTCGACATCTGGCCTATTTGGCATTTTCAACTCGTCAATGTGTATGATGTGTATCTTCCCCTTTTTGGGGGCCCTGTCACGGTCACGATCTCGGCTACGGGACCTTCTATGTCGGCTTCGGCTTCTGGAGCGTCTCCGGTCTCGTCGGCCACGATCCCGGTCCCTGTCGTGCTCCCTCTCCTCACGCCGCCTGCGCTCTTTCTCCAAACGAGCTTTCTTCTCATCACTATCATCTTCTCCATGCGAGAACTTGCATCGGTCGCCGCGCGTGCAGCGATCCATCCGGTAGTCCTGTAATTCGTCTGACAGAAAGTTACATGTTGCCCACTACACACACACACAGACACACGTTAAATCCGAAGTCGAAAACAAATCGAGCTTAGCATGTCCTGGCACATTTCGATGCCATCAACTTTCCTGTCGGGGTAGTCCTTGCCCTTACTGGGGGCCTCTTCTGTCTCGTCAATGTTGTGCGACACTCCCTCCTCGTCTTCCTTGGTAGCCCAAACACGCTCAGCTCCATTGCTTCCAAAAGGCAACGCTGTGTGCCTGGGAAGAACAGCATGGTCAATTGCTGCAACGCCAAGCGTCCAAGACGATGTGCAGAGGTTTGCCTGCCACCTTCTGGCCTTGAAGCTCCTCCAAGCACCGTACGTCTGCGAGCTACTCTCGGAAAGCAGCCACATGTCTTCTACCGGACTGACAAGGATGCTTCAGGGATGTTTTTCGATTCGCGTCGTTTTCTTGGTATGGGTGTTGCTTGCGCGCCCGTTCCTTTAACAACGGCTGCATAGCACACAGTGGACAAGCCAAAGCATTGCCGTGTGGTGTTTCAACACAGTACCTAGCATCACTGCATTTCGTGTATGCTGCAGCCCCACTGGAATTTGTTAAGCTTGTGCAATTGGCTTCTGAAAACGCCAAGGTTGCCTGCTGGTGTTTTGCATCACTTTCGGAATTCATAAGGAGATGGCGGGTTTACTATACCTACATAAAACAAACTTACAGGGTCGACAGCAAACTTCCAGCCCCGTCGTGTAGTAGCAGATCTGCGTAGAGTGCTGCCTCATTTGAGAGAGCAACTCATATTGTAACGCAGGATAAAGCAATCATAACCTCAAAACAAAATAAGAGACCGCTTCATGTGACACAAATTGTTGTGAGGATCACAAGCAGATCAGTCTGGTGGCATGTGGCTCTGTGTCATCTGACTTTGCCATGCCAAATCTTGTGCATTTACAGATGGTCGTATCAGCCAGCTTTAGATGGGAACATAGATTTCGCAGTAACGATAATTACACGACTACAATGGGCCGTCCGTGACGTATTGTATTTCATTACATGTTCGTGGCATGCAGAACCAGTGCCAAAGCCAAGGCAACCCAACCCCACCCAAGCCGAACCAGCACCCCCCTCCGCCACAGCAGACCACATGCCAATGTAGATTCCCGAACAGTGATAGAGTATCACGACCACCAAGGCGACCATCGCGACCACCACAACGCCCAGGAGCCCACGAGGAGGCCACAGAGAGACCACCAAGAGAGAGCGCGCCAGCAGACCACCAAGAGACACGAGACCGCCCGGAGACAACCGGGAAATCAGAGGGAGACCACTTAGAGACCAAGACCACGTTCACGGTGCTTCGGTGGGATTCAGGAGTGCGGCCAGAATGAGTATTGGTGCTCCAGTAGGGAGCATCCTGCACCCAATGTGCAGCTGCCACGCATCCATTTTAATGGACCATCTTGCAAGACTCGCAAACGTTCATGAAGAAGATCTTCAGCCATGACGCTTGGCCAATTGCTGTAAGAACCGAATGCTGTCATTGATCCCATCTAAGGACCACCAAAAGCCCAGGAGAGCAGGGGACGAGGGATTCGGGATTCATGGCAATTCATACTGACCGGAAAAATTGAAAGAGTAGAAACAAAAGCACAACTCCAATTCCAAAGGTCAGTCAACTCGTGCACACTCATGCATCGATGCACTTGCTCCTTTGCAGCTTCTCTTGCTGTGCCGAAGTCGCGCATCCTCACACGCGCCCCACCACGGTTGCCACCTTCGCCCTCACCGGGCCCTGGCACCATTTCGATGCCTGAACTGAGATCCAGGTCTCGTGTGGAGTAGGACGCAGCAAAAACAAGCGGAACGCAAGTGCTCACGATTATACGACATGATGACATCAAAGCAGCTTTATGTTTAAGGCCCGCACTGACTAGTGAGCTGGGCTTGACCGTGCCGTGCAGCAGTGCGCCAATGTCCGAGGCTTGCCATCGGGCGGGAAAATCCTGGATTAGAATGGACCCTGGTTTCCCATCAGCCACATTCTGAGTGGGGGGATCGCGCAGCTCGATGGTTATGATCGACTGCAATGCATCGACTGCAGCCTTTGCTGCTTCCTCTTCTTCGAAGGCACCAACCGCTTTCCGGTGCCCATCAATCAAAATTGGGGCCAGGGTCAAGGTCCCAAAAACCTCGAGCTCCTCTGCCAACTGGGCAGTGAGATCTTCTGTCGACTTGGATTCCCAGTCAGACGGGAAATCTGCAAGGGTCACATACTGTCCCCTGACAAGAGGCAATGCTGCGGCACCTCTGCGCTTTGGACAGTCTTTCATCAAGTGGCCGGCTATACCACAGATGTGGCAGGCCCTCGATTCCTGTCCCTCTATCATCCGGCCCTCGGGATGAGAGTACAAGCAATCTGGTCGCTTGCAATTCACACCTTGCCGGCACATTCCCTTTGAGGGATCATCATCCACTTCACGACCTTGCGGATGAACAAAGAAACAACCCTGTCGCTTGCATTTGCGTCCAAATCTGCAGATGGTGCTGTTCGGATCCTCATCGATCGCACGTCCTGTTGGATGTGTGTCTGTGCACTGCGAGTTTTTACAGGCTCTGCCATACTTGCATTGGATTCCGCTCGTGCCCTCCCAAGGAAACTGCTTTCCCGTTGTATTTGCGGGCACGGCGTCTTTGTTGGGTGCTGCAGGGCTTGGGGATGTCGCTGCACTTGGTGGCGCCACCACGGGCAGCAGACCTGGGTGTGGAATGAGCAGCATGCCCGGAGGCGGTACTCCGGGAGGTCCCGGCAGGCCACAGCCACCTCCAGGAGGCGGCGGAGGAGGTTTGAGAAGGCCCGGAATGGGAGGAGGCGGCTTCATCATCGCTGGAGCTCCCAAAGGCGGAGGCGGCGGCGGCGGCAAGCCGGGCATCATGCCAGGGAGCCCAGCGAGCCCTAGCCCTCCAGCGAGCCCTGGACCTGTACCGTTTGGAAGAGCCATCCCTGTCTTGGCATACTCGGGAGGGAATACCATGCCTCTACATGAGCGCTGGCCGGGCTTGTCTCGAGCCCATGGTTGCTCCAAAAACACCAGTGCAAACACCTGGTCCTAGGTCCGAGGCACTTGAGACAAACCTTCGAATTCGAAGGAAACACACACGAGGCGCAAGCTTCGAGAAGCTCCTCCGCTCGCTTCAAGGCATTCTCAGGCTTGACGAAACTCGTCATGCTGAGTCCACCTTCGGTTTGTCAGGTCAGTCTTAAAATTCTGGAGCGAGCGGGAGCTGGTGAGCGGGCCGAAGCGCGGGCCTGCAAATCAAAATTGAACTCTGCGTCTCGGCCTCGGCTGTCGGCAGCCCGGACCTGGGCTCAAGAGGCATCCTCTGCAGTAACTCAAGCCGAATGCCGCGCATGGAAGCTTCTCCGAGCATCCGGCGATGGGACAGGCAATTTGGTAGATGTACACTGCTAAACTCTCTTGTCCACGAGCTGCAGCGCTGCGAGTAGTGCAAGAACTAAACGACAAGGGAAAGCCAAGCGTATCTCGAGTAAGCAATTTCGGCGCGGTCCTTCAGAAACCGGCATGCAGGTCTGCAAGAGCTTGACGCCACGACTCACAACCCGCACATGTGGATGTGCTGCTATTTTCACATTATTCGAAACCACTGCTGCACAATTTGGTGAAACATGCAGAATCCTGATACTATTTCTAGACAGAGTCTACAGTCTACAGCCGAAGTCCGTGCGAGTTCCTGCAACTCAGGAAATCCTGGCAACTGGATCTCAGCTGGTTCAAAATCGCCACATGCGACCTCAAGTGCAAAATTAAAAGCAAAACGTGCAAACAATTCAATACCGGCTGGGCGTAGTCAGTGCTTTCCGGTACATCTTCACGGCATCCGCAATGACGCGGTCCCACGCAAACTCGGCTTCTGCATGAGCTCGGGTGGGCGCCTTTAACCGGTCCAAATCAGCAATACACTCTAGCACTGCCCTCTTTGCATCTTCCATGTTCAAGGGCTCGTACAGCTTTCCCCGCACTCCATCGCCCACTACTATGGAAATCACCGGCAATCGAGGTGCCACAACCTCGGCCAGCCGCATTCAAGTCATCAGGCTTGATGCTTCTAGGACTTAGCATATATGTGTGTACCGCAGCTGAGGCCAACACCGCAAGGCCAGCAGCCTGCGCTTCTAGCAGAACCAGATCGCATCCGCCCGTCACGGTGGGATTGAAAAGCATATCTGCGGAAGCATAAACTTTGGCGAGTTCTTCCTTGCCCAACCGACCTGTGAAAACAACATTGTCGAAGCCCTCCAACTGACTTCGAACGTCGTTGTCGGCTGGACCACTGCCGACGATCACCCATCGACATTTGTTCTCTAAGCCTGCCTCCGTGAACTTTCTGATCAAATCTGGAAGCAATTTGATGTTCTTCTCGTATGCCATGCGGCCGACAAATGCAACCACTGGCAAATCAGGCCGTCCGCCACTTATCCACTCCCGTGTTGATTGCGACCGCGCTTCCGGAGTAAAAATGTTTACATCACAACCTGATTTCCAGAAGAACTTGCAACCGTCGTCCACGTTCTGCAACCAAGGCGTCTCATTCCTCATGGCGTCATCTACCATCATGTGCGTACTGCACAAGTTGCACATGAGGGTGCCAAAGGCTCGGAGCACTGATATTCCAACCAGGGGTCCAGGCTGAGGCAAGAACTGCACGTAGTGGTCGATACGTGTGTGATGAGACCAAACATAGGGTATGTCCAAGAGCCATAGCACAAAGCTGGTGAGCAGCGCTATGGGACACGTGTCGAACAAGTGGACCAAATGAGGACGGAAGGTCAATGCTCGAAAAAGTGCAGGGCTTGGCAGCGTCAGCGAGTGACCTGCAACAATGCAACAGTAGCATAAGTACACACTGTCTCTCTGGCTCTCGATGCAAAGCCTGAATGAAACATGCAAGTGTGCAGTATGAAATAACATCCAAACCCATCACGTATTCTCCTGCGACTAGTGCCATGCGTGTTTCGGTGTGCCACAACATGCGCCCGCCACAGAATGTTGAGCATTTCGGACTCATAGGCTGTGTGCATTGCCCAGCATTATTCTAGGAAGCACGGGAGGCAAAAGACTAAAGCAATCCACATGTTATGCAACAGGAGGCAAAGCGGAAGAGAGAACCCCTTTTTTGCACTCGGCCCTCGCTGTCGGCTAACGGGCGAGGTTTAAGAGTCACTCACGTCTGCTGGCGACTAGTTTTCTGGCAAGTCTTGCTGTTAAACCTGTCGATACACCTGCTTGAGGCTACCCTGCTCAATCTCTCTCAACTGAGGATGGTGCCTGGATAATTCCCACCCATGCCAGCTCCACGTGTGACATCCACACCAAACAGCTTGTCTGGGCCAGCCACCGACGTGAAAACGTGGACCTGCAGAACAGTACAAAGTGAATTTCTGCACCAAACAAAACTATCGTTAAGTGCTGGCATGACTTGACATGACGATGCCATTGAAACTGATGCTGCTGATGATGATGCCCAGCCTCGTGCCCCATATGTGTCAACTGCTGAATGGTATTGGTGGTGAAAGTCTGAACTCCATCCATGTATGGGTAGAAGCTGTCCCCGAGACACAAGATACGCAGAGGATCACCAGGTGCAGGTCTTGGGGACTTGAAGTTTTCGCTGAGTTTTGCCAAACCGAACTTCATCAAGAGCAGAATGGCCACACAGCACGAGAAACGCCAAACATTGCACAACGAAATTGCACAGAAAAGGACGGGAGCCACCGTCCACTTCAAGAACGAAGCAATTGGGCTGGAAGCAGCAAGCTCAGCTGCAATTTTGCATGCGAGAACAGCCACCACTGCGCCCAACAAGCAAGGCTTCGTCACTTCACCAAAGTAGACAAAAGCCACCGAAAGGATTGCTGGCAAGGTGTAGAACACAGTCACGACGCTGGCAGAGAATACAAGAATTAAGGGAGACAAAGTCTCTTTGAAATGACCTGCTGCCGACATTGCTTCCACAATGGCCATCTCGAAGAACACTGTGACGCAGTGCAACAAACCGATCAGGCAAAGGCCCGGCATGGTGATCAAAATGTCTCCGAATTGGAAAGGATGCCATGGCACGTGCAAGGCCATCGGAGCGACCCGACTGCTTCTGTGCCCGTATTGGAAGCTCTGCACAAAACGGGGCAAGCGAGCCAGAATAATCATCGGATGCCATGTCATTAATGTCCCGGCTCACCCATTCATGGACGCCCTAGCATGCTAGCAAGCCAACGAATTTTCCGCAACAGTAAGGATAGCAACGTACCGGTCGACGCACTACTGTCAAATCAATCTGTGCAACTGTCGCCTGCACGCGGCAAGCTTGGGCTGCAAAGTTTTGTTCCATCTGCGAAGACACGGGATTTGGCTGCATGAAGCCAGCTCCGCATGCTTGCGCTAGGCGGTGATTCCCACGCACTTCGGGGTTGGGATGGGTTGGGCAGTGTCGGTCCTTCGCGAAACGCTCAACACTACGTCACAATGTTCGTGCCTCGCGGCGACATGCGTCGATTAAAATTGCTCTAACAGACATTGATCACGTATCTCAGCAGCAGCCTTGCACCTCGAATTTTTTACCGACCATGTGTTCTCCGCCGTTTTCGTGTCAGGCATCAGAATATCCTGGAGGGCTGATCGGCCTGAGCAAGCACGACGACATCACCGATTGGGGTGCGCTCGTACCCTGTGGGCTGCACCGGGGCGCACATATCTTCGACCGAGAACTCAGAAGCTTTGCATCCAGCCTGCAAAACCCTCGGTTGGGAACCTGACGAAGGTCTTTATGGTCTTTCCAACATAGTGTCAACGGGCAAAATCTGAATTTGTTTTCACTCGTTTCCGGGCTGCTTTCAGGGCAACATCCATCCATACTGGAACGCACTCAACACCGTGCATACGAGTTGGAAAATCCGTCGCCCCATGTCGCCGCTTGGCGACCTTGCTCTCCTGTATGCGACGAACAAACTGTGCAAGCCAGTTCATGTGGGATGCTAGAAGGGGGGCTTGCAGCCGAGCGCTATTGTTTTGCCCGTATCTCAAACTGTTGAGTATGCACTGCTGACTTCGTTTTTCATACATTTTTATGCCTGCACGGCTGATGTCAACTCAACAACTCTACTGCTGCACTATGAGCGGCTGAGTCCCGCGTCTGCAGCAAGGTCGAAGACACGCTCCGAAGGGCCGTCGCTCGGCCCCTGCTGTCTGGCTTTTTCCGACGGTCCATTCACTGCAACACCTCGCCATGTTTCACCTTCTCAATGCACCCAACCGACGATTGCACGGATTATCCGCCGTCGGCAGCTTGTTGGACACATGCCTTTATTGCGGTGCTAGCCCGAACAACCGGGATGCGATGTTTTGCTTCTGTGCAGGTACGGCTGCACAGATCACTAGATCTATGCCGTCCTGTGACGGACCTTCTTCCCACTCAATCAGAGACACATTGGCTATGAAGCTGCTCCCTCACAGCAAGCCCCTGCATCAGGCTTCTGCCAGCCACGGGTGGCAGGGCAGCACAAACCGGATCGCCGGCAGCACGACGTGGTATTTCGGTCACGAAACTCAGCAACCGCGCCCTGTATGCACTACTGTGTGGGCGTGTGTGTCTGTAAGATCCGCGCCTTTTCACTGGTTGCACGTCCGAATCGCCATGGGAACACAGTACATCATGCCATCAAAAAGTAGGAAACCAACCACCACCCCCGTTTCTGGTTCTCTCGCACCTGCTTGCTCCTGCGCATCGGTTTGGTTGGCCTTACAATCAATAAATAGCCTACGATATTCTTACACCCGTTGCCCTAGGCAGGCGTGCCCTTTGGCAACATGCAGTGTCGAAGAGGCGGTCTCCGGGCGTCGCTGCTAGGCTTGAGACAGGCTGTTGCGGCACGACAAACAGCATGCCGCACCATGTTCGCGAAGCTGCTGCCGCGCACAGGTGACTGCGGGTCCCGGTCAATTTCGGCGGCAACACGGGCGCCCCTGACACCGGGCACCAGCAAGGACCTCATGTAGCTCTGGTTCAGTCCCATCGCCAAATATTGCCAAGCTCGGGAGCAGCGGGAGTTCAAGCCGCCACACGGCGTGCGCTCGCTGCGCGGCTACCGCCAACAGGCCTGACCAGTACGCAACCCATGCGTTGATGGCTGATGGGCGGAGGTGTGCTGGGACGGCCTCAGCACGCTGGCGCGCCAGAAGCCTCGCAACCGAACTCCCAACCTCGACGCCAACTACAACAAGTCGGCAGCGGCGCGCTCCGTCGAGCACCGGGTCTGTGTCGCGGCGCTTGCGCCTGGCAGCAGCAGCCTGCACTGAATGGCCCGGTTGCACATCAGCCTGTGGTTGGGCCTCGCCCCGACCCGTAACAGGCTAGACGATGGCGGCATCGAGGGCAAACCTGGGGCAAACTGGGGGCCGTGCCACCGAGGGAGGCCGTTGGCGACGACCTCGATGCGCCGCTCGTCCCCGACGGGCGTCGGGGTTCATGTCAGCCAGGCGCACACTCCGTGCAACCCGCGCGCCAGCTTCGTGACATTTCGCGACATACACGCGCGAGCGCATGCTCGAGCAGGAGGGCTCGCGTTGCCAGCACTCCGGAGGTGGCGCACGCAGACGGGTGGTCGCCGATCGGGTCGAGTAGCCCGCGGCCCCGGCACTGACGTGGCGCAGGTGGCAAGTGGCAGGGGCAGGCGCACTCGTTGAAAGAGCAGGTCAGGTCAAAGCCTCGTGTTGACACACATGGGCATGCAAGGCCACTGAACCGTTGCGCTGATGTGGCATAGGGTGTGAAGTTATACGTGAGCACTTTGTGCTGCCAAACTGTTAGATTGATTCCATACGGTCTTTAATCTACGCCGATCGCTGCATATATGCAGAGCCATGCGAAAAACATTTGAAAGCTATGGTTTTTTGTACTTTTTCAAATGCCTCTTTACGACTGCAAGGGTTGAGGGGTTCCCGGTCCCAGTGCAGACGAAGTGTAACCGCTACTGGCTTGCTCCGCCGCAGTCCGCCACAGGGGAGGGGGGAACCTCTTAGCGCGCTTCCGCTCGTGCAGCTCAAGCCCCGGCCAGTCGCTGAGATCGGCGGCCGGAGGCAACTCGAGCAAGGAAGCAGCGAGGCTCGTGGTGCGGCGACTGCGACGAGGCCGGACCATCGCGCCACCCAGGCGGAAGTGCGCGGGGACGGCGGCGGCCCGATGCCGCGCCAGGAAGCGCAGGAACTGGACTGTCTCAGAGTAGAACCTGCCGCCAGTCTCGGTGCCGAGGACGACGAGGGAGCTCGGGGCAGCTGTTGTGACGCTTGCGCCTAGCAGCGGCATTGACTGCGCGACCTGGCAGAGTGCCCGCGCGGGGGTGAGCCTCGCGTCGTCGTTTGAGGGGAGACACGATTGTGACGTCAACCGCGGGCTGAGACCCATGCCACAAGGGAAGGTCATTGGCGACAACATCGATGTGCCGTTCAACAGCGACCGGCACGTCGAGGTTCATGTCAACCAAGCGGTCATTGCGGGCGACCCCGGCGCCGCCTGCGCGGCAAACGCACGCGACGGTATGCTCGAGGGGCAGCGCGCGCGTGGAAAGCACCCCGGAGGTGGCACACGCAGCACGGTGACCACCCAGGGCGTCGAATTGCCCATGGCATGCGCAACTGCGCGGCGCAAGTGGCAAAGGCATGTGCAGGCCCCGCAAGATGAGGACGCGGAAAGAAGCGCTGGGCACGGTCAGCTCATCGCGCGTCGGCGAGACAGTGAGAAAACACGGGCAGCACAGGGCCCGACTTGCGAGAGCAGTAGCGCACGGGACGCAAGGGAGAGATGGAATTGAGAACATATAACAACAAGCAAACAAAGAACCACATAGACTCTTAGACGAAACTGTGAACACGCACATGACTGAAACGGTTGTTTACAACGGCACTACGGCTCAGTTCACATATCACGAGAAGCAGCTGCATGGCACACAACGCCAACGAACGCAACGCTTCGCAGGATGTCGCCAGCTGTGTTGACTGCCGGGTCTGTGCAAAACAACCTGTGCAAGGACACGTTGTTCCGCCCATGAGTTTGCTGACACCAGCGTCGGCGAGCTACATTTTGGGCCGGGCATTCTGTCAGTGCATGTGTAAGGGTATCTGCACCCGATGCACAAAAACGACACGGTGCATTGGAGTTTCGACCACGATGTCCAGCACTCCGCCCGTCGACGAAGTCGTGATGACCACACCGGGCAAGACCCCAGAATCGCACATGATGTGCCTGGCTGCTACGACCGTATGCAACGGGATGCAAGCGCGGCACGGGCTGCCACTGTGAGTACAGCTGCAAGCTGTCAACCTGACCCAGATTTGATGCATAACTTGCGTGAAACCGGCTCACCAAAATTAGTCGGGCATGCTGCAACCACTTATTGTTTTACAAAACCTCCCGAGCAACCGGGAAGTATACACCGTTCAAAGGGATGTGGCACACCAGCGTGTGTCAGATCACACGACACACATGAAATCCAAGAGGAAGGATGTTGATCGGCAGACCGTGCGAGTTGCCCTGCAAAGCAGTCAGGTGGCAAACTCAAACGGCGGACCCATAAACCAGCTGCTTTGAATGAGACGCGTCGTTTCGTTGTCTTGCCACCCAAGCTGGCCTTGAACAGCGAGGTTGGGTGAACCGCGCGGCCAACGTAGGAGACGCCGACCGCACTGAAGGACACAAGTTTGAAAGCGTGCTATCTGCGGGCCTGCCGAAACAAATTCCAGGCCAAAGCAAACAGAAGGATGCACGTACGTCTGATAAATGCGCTCCACAAATGAAAGGGGCAGGTCTGCAGACTTGGTCCAAAACAGGCAAGCTGCCATTTTTCGCTCACCACGTGCAAGTAAATGGTCAACATGCCCTTTCCAACTTTATTTTTCACGCAACTTGAAACACGAGGCAAAACTTGACCACCTAAGGAGAAGGTAGGTGCACGAGTGCGTCCAGGACCACGTCCTAATACCATGACTGCAGATTTCTTGGGGCCGACACCAAAATGAAATCGCCAAGACAATGCCCAAGCGTGAGCTGCGTCAAGTGCTCGCTGCAAGTGAGCGGGGCTATCACTCAAAATGACAATGTCATCCGCATACAGAAGCAATTTGACCTTTACATTTTCCCCCAACGAACCACAGCAGAC